GTATACATCATTATGACATGATAGCAATACTGCGGTACTTGAAACGACGTTCCAGGTTTCAGTTCAGTTCTATCTAAACCAGCGAGTTTAACTCGTGTAATTAGGGCACTATCGAGCTAACTATACTGTGTGTAATTCAAACAATGAAATACGACGGGCTTGATGATTCCGACCTCTGAACCCGGAAGCACTTTAAGTAGGTCAGACGTTAACACGTGACACATACTCCCAAGGTCGCGCCAGATTTAATCGTGGAAGGTGAATATAGGTATATCGGAAATTGATCGATAGCTTACACCCCGTATCGCGAATATCAGTATCTTATAAATCGTGTTTAATATCGACAGTGCGCCATAAAGCCCCGACGCCACAGCGATGTTAAGTGATTTGTTGATCTGGCATTGGGAATGATTTGATTCGAAAAGTAAGTGAAATATTTACCTTGTTTACACGGCAGCATTTTAGTGATACTGATTTTATACTGATAAATAGAATCAGTCGGCTATTTTTCCCTATAATGATTCACCCATAAGGTTGTCAAGTCTCTTTATAAATTCACGCACTCACAACATACTCTCTGAGACTATTCCAGTCATTTAAAATTCTTTTGGCTCAAGAAATTTTTTCTCAGCTAAATTCTACTATATATCGACAGTCCCTGGGATAGAGGGACTATGATATTTTTTATAAAAAACTCCTTGGGGTTACCACGTAGACTGTACTTAAAAGCGCGGCTCTGCAGTCCACCGGATAGCACCAATGCGTCATGGGAAAGGCAATTTGTAGACCCGCCCATCATTTGTTTACATGTCACACAGCTGTTATTACTTCAACTGTAGATGTTAATTCCGTGTGCTAACATCTTACCCTAGTCTATTATCTGTTTTGTAAGGACTTTTGCGCATATAAATACTCCATGCCAACTAAGTGTTGTTTGTGTGTTTCACATACTATAAAAGCTATACAATGTGTATGTTCAATTTCACGTAAATATGTATTTTGCATTGTGACTAAGTCGTTTCTATTTCTACAGTCTCCACTAAGTGGCTGGACAAACAGTTTAGAACATATCACTTACATCATTAACACCATGCTTTAATACATAAACTGGATGAGATTGACACTTTTATTTGACATAAACCTATGATTGCCAGTCATTTTGTTTACTCATAAAGACTATTTGAAACATGGTTTCTTGTTGTTTTTAGGTAGAAATTACGCTGAAATGTCACCCAACTTGTAAACTAACATCACAGTTGTTTCCCTTATATCCACAGTCAGCAGGTGCACAGGTGAAAATAAAATAAATGCGATATTTACTATATGGGGCTGCCATCTTGAATACACCATAAAACTAAATAAATAGACAAGTTGTAAAATGCATTTATCAGTTTTCTACAAATTTGGGAAAAAAAAACAAACTTTCACAGATCCATTGGGATAGGATTAAACAAATAAAATTTGACCGAATTTGTTGTTTTTTTGTGGAAAAATCCCTTGCATATGAACACCTAATTACACAAAGGACCTAGAACACTTTTCCAGGTGTTGTTGAAACCGTTGTCTTACAGTAAGGGGACAAATTCAGCAAATAATGCCCACAAAATTCAATTTCTCACAAAACCACTGAGATTTGCACAAGATCCCTGTATTCTCAATATGGCATTATTATTTTTCGGAAGGAGATCATTTTTATTGACATTTTCATGAAAACACTTCAAACTTAATAAAACTGAAACAAGAAACATATACT